ATATTGAAAATATTTTTTTTTCTTGTAGATTTTTTTGCATTTCATAAAATTAATATTTTTGATTCTTTACTGTTTATTTCCTCGTACAAGTCGAAAGAAAGATTGACGAAGCCTACCATGCCATACAATGCCAAGCACAAATATATATTTATAAAATATACATATACTCGTAGATTTGTTTTCGTTTAATTAAAAAAATATATACTTTTCTTTTCTCGTACACAACGAAAGAAAGATCTACGAAGCCAACCAAGTCGATGTCAAGTCGATTCGAAATTGGAGTGGGGTGCTCAATCGCTTGAGCTGCACCAAATCGGCAGATAATAATCGACCGACCAATCTAAACCCAGACCACGAATCAAGTAGCCAATCAAATCAACTCTTTGACCAATACAACATCGAATTAGTGTGACATTGGGCGATGGTTACTTACAAAAGCCAGTACAAAGAATAGATCGATAGATTTGGCGAATCAGCATAAAAGGCTCCAAATTTTAGGTAAAATGACAATATCATACCATACATATTCATTGAACAACTCCAAACTACAACATGCCAAACACGTTGATACTATATATATATATAGTATGAACGAGTGACAAAAGCCGGTCCCATCATACAACGAAAATAACTCCAACCATATTGCAAATCGAAAAGATCATACTCCTAATACACTACCCTTTAAACGATAAAAATAGATAAACCATCCCCAGTAGTGTTTACCGCTTCCATTTTCCCCCCACATATCGATACATTTACATACTGTATCGCATGCCATGCAGTAATTTCCATCGTAACCATACCTCGAGACAACATGTGGCCTGCGACAACGTGATTTTCATCCAGTCGCCACAGCTGCAGCAGCTCTTCGTCTGCGCGCGTGATTCCTGCCGCTGAGGCCGATCCCGTGCTAAAGCCACTTCCAGGTGTACTTCCTCCCGGAGCCACCACCGACGCCGACGTGCGGGGAATCTGCGACGCCGTTTCATTCTGCCAAAACGTGTCGGCGGTGCCAGTAACCGTAGGCCGGCCGCCACTCGAGTGCGTAGTGTCCTTATATCGAGGTCTGCCACTTTCAGGCTCCATTGGCGTGTACGCTGCCGATGAGTGGACTGGATAAGGAGATTGCACATGGGACTGGTTAATTGTAGCATGCTTTCGACGGTACATGAGCAGCACGACCACTGCAATTACAATAGCCACAACGACCCCGCCCCCAATAGCCACGATCAGCACCACCGTGTTGGCCGCGCCGGTGCTGCTGATTGGAGGAGCTAATGTTTGGGAAGACGTGGTAGCAGTGTCGACGATGGTAATGCGCTGATACACGGCAAAATCATAGCGAAACGAAGTGTTCGGACCTAATTGCACAACTTCAGTACAACGGGTACGTACAGTAACTATCGAATGTATCGAGATCTGGCCCCCTTGAATTTTATATATATATTCAACGTGAATACAAGTCTATATAATGGAATACAATCAATCGCTAATACATCCAATGGATTATCATTATATATCATTCACAATACTAGTAGTAGCATACTAGTATATCTCAACGCAATCCATCCTAGTACTACTACACTGTATTTACTATTGAATCGTACAAGTGCACGACGTATGTACAGTACACTAGTAGTCTTGAATTGTTACAAGCGTACTACCACGGAATACTCCGGAGTTGTAAGTAGTACACTTGTGATATTGAAATATATTGTAGTAAGTAGTACACTTGTTATATATTGAAATAGACTAGAATTGTTCAAGTCTATGGTGCAAAGTATGACATATACATTAGGGTAGATCAAGAAGAATCCTTATAATATCCAATTCAAAACAACAATAGTCATAAATATACCCACTTCTTTGGATATGATATCGTAGTCTCATTGGGTGCATTTCAAACGAGGTGCAGTGTGTATACATATCTCCTCCTAGAATTAGGTACTTGTACTACTACGTGTATATTGCTTATGGACCAATCATCCATCGGGCGGCCTTAGTACCTGGGAGCGCCAAGTGCGCGAGCACAAAGATATCGCCTTTTTCAGGAAACGACAAGTCGGGGTAGATAAACGTCGAGTCGCTGGTCGAGAGCGTGAAGTTCCCGGGCTGGTTGGGGGTATGATCTCGGACTTTGTCGGCATCGACGAACGGATCGCAAATGCTCGCGACGCTGTACTTGCACGCGTGAATGTTGGAGTGCAGAATCTGCACCACTTGACCCGTGGTTGGATCCATGGATGTGGACAGAGGCAGCTTGTAGCCTACACAAGTCAATCCGTATATAAAGCAATATATGTATGTATGTGGTCGTCGTCGTCGTAACGGTACCAAGGGTATTGCTGGCCACGGTGGCAAGCGTGTACGAAATGGTCCAGGTTGCAGTCAACTTTTGGTTGACCCTATAGACACACGATCGGCAAGTTGCGATGTGAATGAAGGGGGATGTTGGGAAATCGATTTACGTGGCGTTGGGGGGAAGCATGAAGCGCACTCGGAACGGACATCCCACGCCTTCTGCGTCCTTGACGAGGTTGGTCTCACTGGGTTGTTTCACAGACGAGGATTCGGCGATGGCCCAGCATCGCGTCGTGGTGCCATCGGTCCGTGGCACTACAAGGCGATACACCAGACGGTTATGGCTGGGAAGGCACAACGCGTCTGCTTACATGAACCAAATGCTTCAGTTGCAGACGTGTCCAGCATCCATAGCACCGCGCCAAGGACGATGGACGCGCGGCGCCGGGATACCATGGTCGTCATTCCGAGGCTGTCCAACAGGAAAATGGAGGTGGCGAGACGTTCGTCGTTGGTTGTGGCCAGCACGTTCACAGCCGTTACGCATTGCAGCCAATCAAATGCCGACGGAACAGGAAGGCTGGTTGTCGAATTCGAAACAGTTTTGGGTGCAGTTTGGCAATGGAACAGGTTTGGGAAGAATTCCCTTATTTATAAAACAGTTCCACTATTGTTTGGATTCTGGGAAATATCCCATCCGGATACACTTTT